CAATTTAAAAGTATTGCGCAAATTCCGTTTTACGTCGAATTTTTGAACAAGTTTTCGTTTAATAGCGAGAAATGGATCGGCATAGAAACAATACTCACTTTTTAGTATGCAAACCAAAAAGCGTTTTGCCATAACAACGTTCACAAGGAAGATAGTTGACAAGTAATAAAACTGTAATTTCACTATATAATTTTTAACACAAAGAACTAATAGATAAAACACAACAGGACAAATTAGATGAGCTGAATGTTAAAAGCAAAAATTATGTTCAAATACTCTATGCGAAATATAACTTGGAGCCAAAAAGAGCAGAGTGAAACATCCTGCAGATAAGAAAACTGGTGTTACTCTTTACACCGAAAGAATGGTTAAATATGAAGCCAGCTATAAAAGCACAGACTTTTGTTTTGTATCCGTATGTCTGCAACAATTTTCTAAAGAATATTATAGTAGGCAGATATTAGAGGCAGTTCATATCAATCTAGTCTCAACAGGTACGAACGTATTACGGGATCAAGTAGATTGAAACGTGGAACCCTCAAGTACGTACCGGCAATCATGTATAAGATGTAGATAATTGGCTTAAAGATTGAACGTTTTAAAGAGATTAAGTATATTTCATGAAATTCCATTGTCGACTTCGATGTTATTTGTAATATTCACAGCATTTTGGTTCGTGTTATTTGCTGTTATTTTTAAGTGGGCAAATAAATTTATACAATCAATGTTGAGAGATAACTCTAGTTCGATACTCTATGACCCACAGACATTTTACAAGCCCTGAAAATATGATAATTTTCATATTTGACTGATAGTACTTTAGTAGGTATAATAATATTTAGACATCAGCATACTTTACTAGCATCGTGATTCAGAAAGTCTATTACAAATAGGACGCTTAAAAGTAAATGCGCTATTTAATCTCTATTTGAAGGAGGTTCTTGATCTAATTTACCGTTTAATTCGGTTTAATTACACTCTTCGAATGAAACGTTCTTTTAGTTAAGATCGTAATTTATCTTAGTTCGCGTTCTTCTGCTTGATGTTTTTCAGTCACGAAAGCAGAAAATATGTAAACGTCAGAAAATTTTATACCACAATATTTTATTTGGATGGGACTTTTAGATAAAGATATCACAATATTTAGGTCTAGTTTTGGACTAAAATAGTTCAATTGTTAAAAGTACTTAAACTCTTTTAAAATACTTTAGATGAAAATCGCTACTAAGGTTCTTTTAGTCGTTACTAGAGCTTGTCAAGTTAGCCCCTACTTTTCAAACTTAATTTTTAATTTCCAGTTAATTTTCAATGAAGTGAGCTCCAAATCTTCGGAGGCATTAAAAGTAAAAAGTTTTCCTCAGGAATCTATTTCAGAAATCATAAATCATAGCAAATCACCGAGATATTGGAATTTCTGAATCGTTTTGTGAGAAACGGGAAAATAATGTGAAAAATTGCTTTTTTAATGAGTTTTTAAAGCTGTTCTGTTTGTTCAGGCATATATTATTCAGCGATTTATTCCAATATTAGCAGAAAATATTAGCGGCTTCATTAAACATTTTTTTTTAGTTTCCGGACTCATCCACAACAAGAAGCCAACTGTTATTTCTAATCGAATTCAGATTTTTAAAGAAATTTGCAGGGTAAATATGTTATTGATGGCATAAGTAGATTTTTAAAGTTGTTCCATGATTTCGAATTTTTCTTTCAGAATCTTCTGGTTTATAGTTTAATCCGTATATATTCGTGTATCGCAGAAAAGCTCGTTGTAACTTTTGAATATTTCCGATATCGAATGAATGTATTTAATAGACTTTCACAACTACATATATGGTTTATTCTGGAACGATAATACTCTTCAGATGATGCCGAACCCTTACAATTGCAACTGAAAGCAGTGGTTAAATCAACTTTAGGTGTTGATGTTGCTATTCTGTTTCTTCTTAAGCTAGTCTTCAAGTAGCTGAGAATATTGCATACGAGATATGCCTATGAATAAGGAGTCTATACGCATAACCAGATAATTGATTCGGATTTTTCAATACCATCTACTAACATAGTGTAGGAGGGCAATTAAATCAAGTGTAGATTAACATTTTTGCTTTCGCTTCAAAAGTTCCCAATTGATAAATTTTAGATGGGAAATATTAAGGAATAAACGTACGAAAGGGAAATTATATTAAGTATATTTATATACATATTTATTATACAGGCTCAGTCATAATTATTTGAATTTGAAATATATTTGGTCGTTAATGCTTGGTACATATTATATTTAATATAATTAGTAACTATGGCAAAGGTTCAAAAATTTTCCAACATTTTTGAGGGTTTCAAAGATGAAACCTCCTTTTACAATTTTATTTCAAACTTCAACTGAGATTTTGTTGGTTCAGTATTATAAAAATTGAATTTTTGATAGCAAACCATTTTTTCATGAATTATTTAGATTTCTACGGGAATCTCAGTAGTGCATGGACTGAAAATAACTTGGGACAGCCTCCACGTGCTTGACCTGACAGCCTTGAATATTTTATTATTTTGGCCAAAACATTAATCACTATTTTGGTGTTAAGTCTGACCACAAGACTTTCCATATGATGTGACCATTACCGCCACTGTATAATACAACAGAAGAGCAAGATTGCTGCATAAATTCTTCGAATTTTGTAAAAGCAAATATAACTGTTGAACACAATGTGGAGACGTTATTAGCTACAACCAATGTTGACGTAGGTCTTCAAACCACTCCATTTTTTCCTTTCTGTTGTTTTCGAATGAGACCGATATGAGGTCCTTTATTTATGAAATAGTACTATTCATAAATTAATCGTGATTTGTGCTGTGAGCATCAGATTCAAATAACGGCAATTTTTATGACTAAAATTTTCTGATGCATTCAAATGTTAAGGAAAGTGTTAAAACGCTTTAATTTTTCAAATTTCTATATTATATTAATAAATTACATGCAATAGAGCAAAAACACTTAAAATAACGGCAGCTACTGACCCCACATATGCAGGTGATCCATTGCAAAAATCGCTTGTACATGTTTTGCAATTGGTCACATTAAAGCCATATTGTGACTGTGTATAGGTCTTATTTTCAGTCACGTATTGGCAAAGTTCAATGTCATTTATGAGCTTAGGTAAGCACAGCCGATATGTTATATCGCTGCCATCTGAAACATTATCAATCAAACTTAGAAACTGTAAATTCATGATAGAACTAGGAAAAAGCTAGCGAAACAACACGAAAAAAGTATATCTTACTGTATTTTGGAATCGCCGTGGGCCCAGACAACGTGACACAAACCGCCTCAGTTGTATTAGCGTAGTGGTAAATCTGCAGGCAATCGGACACGAAGATGTTGGAATCGGAAGAGTTGAAATCACCAGTGCCACAAGTAGAATTAGCAGAACCCACGCAATTGTAACATGCCTGCAGAGTTCCTGAAGTTGTTCCTGAATTGAAAAAATACTTTATGTCTTAAATCTCTAGCCTAAATATCTGGTTCTTGGAAATAATTTTTTAAATGCTGTACTAGCTGTACTTGCGTAACACGGACACAACACATGCTGATATGATCGAACAATGGATTGTCTCAAATGTTATTTGAGAACATTTTAGTCCGCATTCAAAATTGTTTGATCAGAGAATAGCAGCTTATCCGAAATAAAACTGATCAGCCCATTATTACTTACCGACAAAAATCGATGATGACGCAATCAGTACTACTAACCAGTTCATTTTATACACAGCTCTATTCTAATGGTTTTTACTTAATCTCCGCTCCTACAAAAATCAAACAATGTATAGGTTGTTATGACATTTATAGCCATATTTATCTTATTAAGACGAATTTTATTGATAAGATATGTACTATAGATGAACATACTGGTGGGATTATTTTGCTTTTAAATATCACTTTACCGATAAAATAGGGCAAATGATCGGAAAGTCGTTAACATATGGGCAAGCCTTAGTATTGAAAAGCATTTACAAGAAATCAGCTTACACAAAAAATGCCGTTTCCTGATTTGAACGATGCTATTGGCAGTTACTTGAGTCGACGGCCTATCTAGGTGAACAAAAATTAATCTTCAGTCAAGCGATTCGCTGAATACGGTAGGCTACGTCATTACATTTGTTTATAACAGTGTAAGATCCTTACCAATTTTAAGTTCACTGGGGTGACTTTTCCGATATTTCCGCGTCGGGTGGTATGACCAATCGGAGTCACCTTGTTGGAGGCCGTTTGAATTCGCCAACACGTCGTATCTTGCCTTTGCTCGATGGCTAGCAATATTCAATTTGCTTCTGCTCGTTCGTCTTTATAATTCAGCAGCTCTTTTAAGTTTCCTTCGTACGAGGGCCTCTTCTAGTGATCCAAACATCAGATCAGCTGGAAGATTTTATGTCTCTTCTAATAGCTTTGACTGGTGAGCAATCGGTAGCTTCATGCGCGGAGCTACTACAGGCCCACTAACAGAAGGGGTAAAAGACATCCCAATTACGTTAATGATCTGTTACTATTTTGGATAGGTGCTGTTCCATTGTGCAATTGAAACGTTCAAACATACCATCAGATTGGGCGTGTAAAGGAGTAGTTCTTCTTCGTTACGTACATTGCCCAATTTAATCAATTTAATATCAAGAGTCCTCGATGCATTCGGAATATGACAGAATCATGAAGGTCAGCAAGCTTTGATTATATCAACATTTCTTTAGATGCCAACGTGATAAAGGACAGCAGGACACCAATTTTTTCCTTTCTGAAGTAGATCAGTTTTTAAGAAACCGTCCTCGAAATTTCATGATTTAAATATTTCTTTAAAATGCTCGATATTACAATTTTCCTACACCTACTACAATCTGAATGCAATTGCCTGAAGGAAACTTGAAACAACCGATGCAAATGCGTCTCTGTCTCATAAAATGCCATTTTATCGATTCATTTTAAATAATTGTGCATCAGCTGCATTAATTAACTAAATTATTTGACAGATACATTGCTGATAATATCTTCACTTGTGCAACCCGACGTTGTTTGGCGTTGTCTTTGGAAGAACCTCTTCTGTGTGCCATCGGTACGATGTTACTGTTCACATGGAATGGATCACAACATCTTCGAAAGGTATGGTATGCAAACAGCTTTTTGGGAAAGGAGTTGAAATATTTGCTGCCGGCGTAAGCGAATTTGAAATGCGGCAAGAGCTTACGCGCGCATGGTTCTTCGGATCGTTTAGAAGAGCGATTCGCCAAAGGAAACTTCAGTGTGGTTGATAACGCCGCGAAGTTTACAAATGGGATTGATGATATTGAACTCTATAGAGTTTTAAGCTTCTCTCTCGGAAGAGAAATTCTGCGGATCGGATATAGTGAGCTGTGCTTTGAACTTTGAGCGCGAAGCTCTGGATTAATACTTATTCAGTTTTACTGCCGGTGAGTGTGTTTTTGTTGAAAAATGTATATATCTATCTATCAAAAGTATGCTGTTTAAATAAGTGCAAACTTTGATTATCATTTGTCATTCTTATAAATGATTTACCTCATTTTATCCAGCGTGCCGCAAATACATCAAAGTTATCCCATAATTCGAACTCAAAATGTTTTATTATTTGATGTTACTAAAGCAGCTGCAAGCTGGATAATTGAGTTTGATTTCTGTTCCACATCCTTCACGAATGAACGTCCACTATCCATTTTAATTATTATTACTTACCTTAATTCCGAATTTCTGCTTTGTTGAAAGGACTCTTTTCGATCTTCAGAAAAATAACACCCAGTTTTAAATATATTTATATATATAAATTCATCCATACAACTAAAGATAAATATTGAAACCCTCAGACCTACAATCCATGTTTGAAGGAAATTATTAGTTATCCAAATATTTAGGCACTTCTGTAATTGACAAAAATCCAAATAATAAATGTTATTTCCGCTAAAGCACTTTAGATAATAGTGAAGTGACTTGAATAAAATTATACGTATTGGCATTTAACCATTTGATGAAATAAATATTTTTAATAATTAAAATGAGCCCGTCACTTGCAAAATTTAAAACGTTTATTAAAAAGATGCAACATTACAACTTTCGTCTTCTTGATGTGTCATTAGATCAGGGGCGGATTCAGCTTTCAACTYAGGGGGGGGGGGTCATGTAGTAGAAATTCAGTATTGTCTTGTCTATGAACTAAGAAAAATTATCGCTTGGGTTTATTTACGTGTCTTTGTGTTTCTGTTACCTTACCAAAAACTTAGAGCAATTATTAAATAATATTTATAATTGTGTTTAACCAACTGGACTTTATAAATTTCCATCTTTCGGTTAGTTTTGAAATTGTGAACTAAAAATAACTTTCAATGTTTAGCATGAATATGAAGTTGAATATCTAGATATTTTATGTGATTTGGTCCACCTCACTGTCAACTCATCAAATTTGTGTTGTTTCATGCGAGTACTTTTTTATGACAATTTATTTTCAGATGAAACAAACATTAATTGTCAATCGTGATAGCTGAATTGTATGGGTTATGCACGTTTGTGATAGACAAATCCATTGAATAACATTTCCATCAGCAAAAAATCATATGAATATGGATCGCCATTATCATGAATTTTAATTTTCAAACTTTGAAATATTGGGTTATTTACGGGTGACAAGGGTGTATTTTTATAAACTAGAATTTCGCTTCACAATGCATATTGATAATTTAAAAAGTTTTGCAGAATTTTAATGACAAATGACAAAAATGTACAGTTTCTGCAGTTTTGATACAGACATATTTTTCTTAGCTTCCCGTACCACTTAGTAAATTAAATTCATTCTTTTGTTATTGATTAACAAATTATTTTTGAAAGCATTGCCGTTCAGAAGTCAATTATTTAATAAGTTTAATCCATTTAGAAACGTAAAGTAGAACTTCCTTGAATGACCTTACATTTGAAAGGCAATATTGTCAGGTTAGGGCGAGACGCGCACTATCTATTCTCTGTAGCTATTCATAAATTTCAGGGGATTAAATACCTTAACGCCTTTTTATATTTATAGCTTCTATATAACATCGGATTTCTTTGAACTGATATAGAGACCGGCATTTCAGGAAACCTAAAAGATTTATCGTTTGAATCGATGGATTTTGCGCATTAAATGTATTTCGGAAACGTTATCAATTCAACTTTAGCTACTTTCACAACAACCCATAAATAAAAAGAGGAAACTATAATATTAGCTGAAAATACAATAATAATATCGAATTAATAGTAAATGCAAAACATTTTCTACTATTTGGTTTTTCTCCATGGCCTCTAGAATTTGACCAAATCAACATATTTTTAATCGAGGCGGCTCCCGTTACAAAACAAACTTAGATGGATTTTTCTAAACATTAATGTTTATTTTAAATGCTCAGGGTTTTCCGGTTCAAAAATGATTTTTTGCAAATTGCACGAATGTATTTAGATCTGCATTCTTCAGTTGCAGGATTTGGTCGACATCATGACCATGGATGGGAAATATCACCTTCCTCCAGACACTGTGGTTCCATGCTAGACCAACCAACAAACACAATATTCAATTGAAGTTTAGTGTAATATGTACCAACTGGATTTTATGTGGCTCTGTCGAAAACATTTTTGAAGATGGAGGACGATTAAGAATGCGTTGTGCTCGAATGATAATGGCATTAAATTGTCGGAACGCTCTCATGTGTGTTGTGCTCTTCATTTATCTTTCGGAAGTAGTCACTGGATCCTTTATTTCAGGTAAAATATAATATGATATTCTCGAGTATAGTTTTAAGCTAGTTTTGAGTAAGAACAGTTTAGGAAAGTTTTCCACATCTGAGAATGTAACTGTAATCATTGCAGACAGTTGCACTTACATATAGGTGTTGTTTCCACGTTAATTACAGAAACTTTATGTTACCTGTGTGTACTCCTTGTGCATAATTTAATGTCTCGTTATTAAAAAGTAAGCACCTTTTTAATTGAGATGCAATTTAAAGAGGCATGAAATATCATAATAAATAAATACAATTATGCTTATTGACAAATGTGTGCGCAGAAATCATTTTCGTTAAGAACCTACATATGTAAATTTTGATATATCATTTAAGTGCATGAATAGCCCATCACTCTTTTTTTATCCACTGGCATCGTCTGTTCTAATTTGCTAAGTTTCCAGTCCAGAAATAATGTGGTGTCACTAAGTCAACTTATTTCAAAAGCATGCGGATAAGCTTCAAAAGTTAAATTACTTAGTCGTTTTCATTCGAAAACAAGTCTTTTGAAAGCAAAAAAATGTGTACACAGAATATGCAGTTAAAGTAGTGGCCATTAATTTGAGGACTTTTTGTACAAAAAATGTGCATTTATTTTTCTGGTTTTATAATACTAGATGATAAATAAAAAGCAATAACAGCTGAGAGAAAACTACCACTATGGCTGTTCAATAAAAAACTGGATTTCCAGTAACATTAATGATGATCTCATGCATGGAAAAAAAATGAACATACTTACTATAAGCACAGCTAAGCCAAAATATTTATATTTTCGTTCAGAAACTTTTCTATCTCTGGAGATTTCATTGTAACGGTATTATATATACGGTAACATAAGAACATTCTAATAAACTTTAAATGTGTTAAATTTAATAATTTGAGGTTGTTAGACTGCCGGTTCAGCGAGTATGTCCTAAATACCGTCTTTATATTATTACGGCAAAGCAGAAAGTAATCCAAGCTCATCTTGTATCAAACAAAATTTTATTTCCCAAATATTTTTTCCTGAATATGAATAAAAAATAATCTCTTACTAAATTTGACATATTTATTCGATACTGTCTCATTCCTCAGAATAGTGAAGACATTAACATTAGAGTGCATTTACACCGATAGCCATTACTGAGTAAAGCTCATGAATTAATATTGCCTTATTAATATTTAAAAATTATTTTATATTTATTATTAATATATAAAAAAAAGTATTAAAAAATCTTTATTTCTTATAGAAAAGGCTATCGACCCAATCGGTCTTTCTGCCCCGCCTTATTAATTATTTGCAGTTTTGCAAAATTAGCGAGAATTCTTTATGTCAGCAATGGCATTTTTAATTTAATTTTGTATGCGAATAGTTAGAAAATGTTCTAGAGCTGGATGTGACATGTAAAGATCTTAACTTTTAATTGGAAAATATTCAGCATTTAAAGAAATCAGAAAAATTCAATTTTTTTTAACTCGGTAATTAAAGTTTACAATGATACTTTGGTTCGCTATTTTTGTTGTCCAAATAACTACCATTGAAAAGCTTTGAAATACATCTAATTTATCCATTAAAGTTCCTTTCAGTCGTCTTAATGGCAAGGGCAGATGTTTCTCTAAAGTTAACGAAATGGGATTAAACCAACGTAAAATAAAGATCCTCTAAAGCATTGGACCTCTAGAAGTTTTAGGTGGCATAAAGTACCTTCCTCTACGAAGTTTCAATGTAGTTAGTAGTTTAGCTTCTCTTTTCCTTGAAAGTAGTATTTAGTTCCTCGAATTGCAATTGTCGAGGAAATACAATATTTTGTAAATACCAAAACTAGGTATATTAATAGAACATAATTGTGTGAATTGAGTTAATGTTAGGAGCGGGGCAAACTAAATACGTTCACCTAGTGTTTAGTTTCTTGTTGTTGCAAATATGAGAATATAATGTGGAAACTAATATGCATATCAAAATAAAGTTCTTAATGCTTTGAGAGACTTGCTTTTCATATAAGTGTTGCATAATGTTTAATCACAATAAGTAAATATCTACTGATGACATTGTCAAATAACAACTTTCGTTGCGAGTGAGGACCAATAAATATAATAGGCATTTTTCAATTTTTTTCAATTTGTTTCAATCGGTACATTCAGTTTTATTGATTTTGAATGTACAGAATGTTACCGTTTTTTTTTATTGCATGACTTTTTGAATAAATACTAGAATACACAAGGCGGGAAAATATATTTCATGGTAAAATCAGTTACTTATTTATTTTATTCTCCCTGTATGAACCAATTACACAAGATTTCATTTTTACAATTACACAAGATTTTATTGTCGTTGATTTTTTCATCAACATAACTGTTACGGATGTGCGGTTATATAAGAAACTCAATAGGTAATACATGTGTTATTAAATTTTCTTTGATGTACCAAATTATCAAGTACATAAACCCTGATATCTAAAGCTTCAACTTCTACGAAAACTTGTCATCGAGTCGCTATATACAACCACGTTGAAAATTAAAAAATCACTCAATGTCAATCTGTACGCAACACGAGAAAAATATTTCTAAATATTTCACGGAATCCATAACTATTGTATTATTCTGCAAGCTGTTCTAACGAAGATGGTAGGAGTTGGGCGAGGGCCTAAAGCCAATCAAAAGTCTGGAATTACTTATGCATCCCAAATATCCAAGTATTGAGACTCTAACATAAATATCAATAGCTTGAATGTGAAAATTAATTCGAAATATTAGAACTATAATGTTTACCATTCGAAAAACTTCATCTTGGAGTTCTTAAACTCACAGTTTCTTAAACTAAAACTGCATGCTAGTAAGTTATGTAAATAAAAGCTTTCAAAGCTTGTCACAAAATTTTGAGAGTGTTCAGTCATATATTTGTTTTAAATTTTCTGCTTGATTTCCATTTGTGTTAATTTATTAAGAGCTGAATTTTCCAACAAAGCAGTCCACTATATGCCAAATCCTCAATTCATGTATATCTAGTTTTAAAGGTTTTAGCAAAATTGCATGTCAATTTGTCTGTTGATGCAATCGGATTTGAAACAGATTAGTGTTTGACAGATAGAAAATTGGTTTTTCGCTGATTTATTTGACTTTCCGTGGGTGCTTTTTAGAAACAAAAATGAAATTGGAGTTGACCTAGAACAATACTGAATGTTATACGTTCGATGTCTGCATCCGACCAATATTGTCTGATAGGCAATTTTCAATAAATTTTACTTACGTTTCAAGTGGTTCTTTGGGAATAGCTATATATCAAGGTAGTATTGAAGCCAATTCTTTTTTTGGCACAGCAAAGGTTTGTGTATAAACTTCACCCAATTTTGCTTACACTCTAACCGCCATAGTCGACTCTCAAAAACAGTTATTTCCGTAATAATTGTTATTTCGAGTTCTTAATGAACCAGAATTCCCAGGCCGTGCACATTTACGGTTCAATTTCCAAATACCATATTTTACAATAATGTGTTGAAGCTCACTCTTTCCAAACTTATCTACTAATAGAGTATATAGTGATAAAATATAAATTAATAAAATATTAGGCATTCAAGTCTGAAATTGGGTAATAAATGCTCTAACAAAATAAGAATCAATACTTCCAATAAAGCTATTTAAAATCTGTCAAGCTTATAAGGAAATATTGCGATTTATAACCGCTTACATAGTAGTGATTGCGACGTTGGCTGTATAAAAATTCCATAAAAATGCGGGACGACATGCCATCAAACTTGATGTTACACGCATTTCGTATCACCAAAAGAGGCGAGAATTCCATAATATATCGGGGGAACAACCTTTTCAATATTTTTTATTCATTTTTCTGTCTTTTCGCCGTAAGTGACTCTGATTTTTGAAATAAACTTAATGGCATTTGCCATCGTTTGTTTCAGCAATAAAAAGGTCGTTCAGTTGCGAAAACCAGAAAAATGTTCTTGTTAAAAAAGTTGGTTTGTGGTAATTTTACATCTGAAAATTGATAATTTAATTTGTTGTTAGTTAGCCACCAGTTAAGTAGAAATGCGTCATTCTTGACAAAATAGGTGATTTAACAACGAATTTTGAAATATTTCAATTGTAAGTAAATTAATCTTGAAGTAAAAATTTAAAATATTCCTCGTATGACGATCACAAAATACGCCAGCAATATCGAATGCTGCTCAAATTCAAATGCATCTTGAAATTTATGTGTTACTCTATTGTAATTTAAAAATATGTGAACCAATAGTATATATAAACAGTTCGAGTTGCTTAAGAGAAGATATTTGATCAACTCAAACAAAACGACAAAAAATATTGCCACATTCGCTTTGATTTAAATTTAATCATAATTGTTTAAAAAATTAAAAGTTTATATTTACAATACTCTTGACTTAGTATATCAGAAAGTCTTCAGGCAATAAACTTGCGGGAGGATTTAGTTTAAGATGTGATCAAATTAGGATATTTTAATGGGTCTTCTTTAGCCCATTACCTGTAAAACGTAATTCTTATAAGCTTCCACCAAATGTTTTTGATAGACAATAGTGGAGTTGTTAATTAATAAAACTAAAAAAATTTAAACATAGACAATTTTTTGTTTTAAGTCAATCTGTAAAAAAATACTAGCAACAGTTTGGATGGGTTTTCCGATAAATTAGCACAGTGACTCAAGGTAGAGTTTGATAAAATAATTCAAAATTGAGGCTTGGTAGAGATGATCAAATTTGTTTCCCAACAATTTCAGTCCATTTCTCGAAAATGAGTTAGCTAAAATAATTGCAAAATTTGTTTAATTCATTTTTGTTTTCCTGTTTTTAGAACTGCATTTCTCAAAATTTTTATGTAAAATTGCAAAGGAAAGCATGAATTCGGAGTATATATTTGGTGAGAAGCATGTCTGCGTTGTTGTTAGCGTATTTGTGGTAGGTTTTAAATTGTGCTGCTCTGGAAACTTAAAGTAGTCCTTAACCATAGACATAACATTGATTGAGTTAAAAAAAAACGTTTTCTTTTGAAAAAGTGAAAGTTGTTGAACCAAGGAAAAGTAGCCGCAATTCATCAACAGTACTAATCAGCAGCTATTAGAAATATTTTCTGAAAGCATCCACTAACATCAAGCATAAAAATAACTTAAATGTTTTACACAGCTTTTCCTTGATATCGATTTTTAATTAATCACCGCTCCAAGTAGTAATTGAAGTAATAATCAGGAAAAGAAGCAAATTTTTACACCTGAAAACTTGTCTTTAATATTAGCACACTCTTATAAAATTGATGAATAGGTTTAATGTGTCGCTTTTAGTCAGAAATATATTCGACTAGTTCGTTAAGGACACACAGTATCGTGCCAAAATCGCCGGTAAGCAATTGGATTATACCCCTATTCCAGAGAAAGGCAAATATCCAAAACCACATATTGTATGCAAATTTAAAAAAATATTTATGAATATAAATACGTTGATTTTAGGAACATTACCAATCCATGAATATTAAAATTACTCCCTTGTATGTGCACGCTCTTTCCACAATAAATAATAAAGCAATATAAATCCCATTACCATGTATAATCCTCTATTCATGATAAAGACCCTTTCAGTTTTCAGGTTTTAAAATTGTTACACCGATAACGCCGATGATAATAAGAGTTTATTATGAAAATAGATGCTGCGTTCTTGCAGCACCGATAATAAAATTATGGGGTTTGCAACACCCTTTTTTAATTGAGGCGTCTGCTTTAATAATACTTGAGTAATAGCCTTGTTTTAAGTTGAAACTTCCCTTGTTCCGTGCGAGGCCTGCAGGAAGAGTCAATTAGGCTGTTGGCACCATGCGCTACAAGGTAAACGTTTTAACCAATGTATACTGCAGTTTTCGATCAATAGTTCTGAAAAGCAGCATAAAATCCGATTGTCTCAGAACATCATCTGATGTTTTAAATCTTATGATGTTTTCACCGACAACCTACAGTTGGGACACATTTATTTTCAAAACGTGTTCACGTTTTACGTTGATTGGGATGGATTTACCTTAATAAACCTGAATAAGCTGATATCTGACAATTTCCATTTTTAATGTAGTTCCGAATGAAAGATTTTAGTAAAACTTCAGTTTATTAACAACTATTTTGGATAGAAAGTCCACAGCTACTATGTACCAAATTTTTAACCCTGCAGGGTTAATATTTTGCAATGTCACATTTATGTGACGTCGCAAAATATATTCTCCTTCAATATTCTGCTATAAATATATTCTGCTGCAATATTCTGCTTCGAACACAGTACTAAAAAAAACATGCAAGCCTAGCTAATGGTATCATGTATAGTGCTTCGATGATGAATTTTTCGATCAGATGCTTGGGATCTTATTGGATCTTATTTGGAAATTGTGTTTGAAGCTTTTTACTATTTTACAATAGCAAATAATACTCTAGAAGTTCTTGGCCAAACATTTTGAATAATTAGAAGAAATTGCCTAGCAGCACCCAGCAAATCCGACCCAGCAATCAGACAACAGCAATTTCGAATCATGCGGTATATTGGCCAACTGATGATGGTTCTCTCAACAAAATCCTTTTCTCGCATCGAAATAAAATCAGATATTTTCAGATGGAAACACTATAAAGCTCCGGGCTTTTCCGATTTTCCGATTTGATCACTTTAACATAGACTAAAGCGACTATTGAGAATAGCAATACTTTTCCACATATTAGATGTAAAAGTGCAATGAGAGCACGGCACAAGCCAAACAGCTGAAAGCTCGTACAAAAATGTATTAGCTGAACTGCCAATTATATTTGTTGGACGCGAAGCTTCATATCCGTTAATTTTAGTAATTTATTTTCGGAAATAACCGAGAACCGGAATTCAAAAATAATTTGCTGCAGTTGCTGCTAATTATGAACCTCATTTCTTTTAAGGGCACTAGATTAAACGCAAACCAGTAAAATCGGATGCTCGACGTTATTTAGAATTGAAAATAAACAATTTTAATATTGAAAAAATAAAATTTAGGTTGAATCTGAATTCGTTTATTTACATTTGCTTTTAATTGGAAGGCGACTTATCACGTTTTTTTATACCTCTTTTGCTTATTTTTCCCATGAATTGCTGACCATTTAAATTTTCTTGCGACTGTTTTCCGACCTCTGCTGAGTAATTGAGTTAATTGGACGAACGCGACGTTAATTATAAAGAGTTGCCAGTAGAAGTAAATGCAACTTAACGAACAAGTAAATGTGCGGATCTGTAGGCTGTGATTGACGTTTTTAAACAATTTTCAAATAAATGTAACGCGTATCTTTTCGTATTAGTTATGTGTCAACTCCATTTTAAATATGTACTTGAATTTTGTGCATTGGCAAATGTGTACTTTGTACAGTTGTTGCAATGATGTATTCTTCTGCGCTCGCGAACGTATTATACACACATCTTGTTCTTCGTAAGTGATAAGATTGCACCGCATGGGTATAAGGATATGATGTGAAAATTTCGTAGGCAATTGTATCGAGCACTACTATTGAACCAGTGCGCAATAGCAAATAATTATAATTTACTCCCATTATTCCCTCGGGATTATTATATATACATTATTATATGGAATCAAACAAGTTTTGTACTGAACAATCGTGGATAAATATATCTATAAATTGCTTTTACCTTAAAAAGTGAAGAAATAACAAGTAAGTAATATTCAGGTGCAAGATAAAATAATTTTATCATGAAATAATTGGAGGACGCATTTGAAATTATATATTAGTATATGCTGTTGGTACTGAGTGCAAGATACTGCTACCACTTCGAGACATATTTAAATCTTCCCAACTTTTGGTGCTTTACAGCATACAGTTTCGACTGGTTAATTAAGACAAAAATACTTTACATAGATACAATATTTCAGTCTTTATAGTATTTAATTAGTTAAAAGACGCTGCAAATTAATGTGTTAATTTGTTAGAGTTTTCATAAGCGACGTTTATTCAATGTTTAGAAATGGACTATAAGATTTTGTTGCTGCAACTGGTCTAATATCAATGACAAAATCATTCGTTAAAAAAGGTTTCTTCTAATTATAAGATTTCATTTATTGCAGACACCTTGGATTTCGACTTGTCCCTCTTCGTCCGACATCGTCGCAGCTACGCTGAGCAGCATAGAAGAAGCAAAGAAGCCATGCTAAGTATTGGCAATGCTGTAAAATCAGCAGCACATGGAGCAAAATCGACAGTATTTATTACTGATAACTGTACAGTAGTTGTGGCTCAAACTGGAGGTACGGCAACCCTGCCGTGTGTTGTTAGAAAGTTTAGCAACGGGGTGGTAAGTCTTTCAAATATTGTTTAAGAGTTAAATAGTCAGTTTTATTTCTGTCTTTTATAACTATCTATTGACCGATCAACCCCAAAAACAGAAAGCAGCATCTATCAATAAATATGTATAGTATTTATGCACTCGCTAAAGCTGAATGTAAAAATATTCCGCAACTTTTATATTTACTAAATTTGTAATGCCATTATGTCAAAAAACATATTTCTAAAAACTGCAAAAGATAAATCCACTCAAGAAAATTGATGGAATATCAATGTTCATATCAAGTAATATTCTCATACATATCAGCAACGTCCCGTCCATTCCATTCTTATCCAGTCCTTCAAGTTATGCGCCCGAATGCCTGCCTGAAATTAAATGGACTGTAAAAATCAATCTACCATTCGAACAAATTGACAGGTGTGGGGTGTCGAATAATATGGAAACGTTCTTGGATTTCAATCAGGTTGTCAGTATACCCAGGAAATAATGTTTTCGTGATCAAAAAATAGCCGTCCTTCGAGTGATAAATGATCCACTGGGCTGTTATTTACATAAGTTGTTTGGATACGTTCTACATATTATTTTATAGAGAGGCTTTCACGTATGCTATTTTCCTGAAATGGAGGCTTGTATTTTCACTGAAGTTTTTCACATAGGGCAATGTGTTTTTGAACATTCTATGTTAGATGTGAAATATGTGTATGCACTAACATTAATAGCTAAGTCAGTAGTATTCCAAGACTAAACCTTCTTTATTTTAGGAAATTTACTTGCTAATCGATTGCCTGCGTTTTGACGTAAAATCCGAGGCATTGAGCTTTATTAATAATCAGAGCCAAAAATACATCAGCAAATCATCTTCCAATCACGAATTGTCATATTACTTTAAAAATGGGTTTCTAAGTGAAAATGATTCAAATCAGATGTACACGTCTTTTGTATATGTAAAACTTCAGGCAAAAAGTACAATTTACCTTTCCGGGCGGTTTCCAAAAAGTAGTCGATTTAGAAGAAGTACATGTTACTGGATAGCTTCAAACGTTGTCAACAAAGCAATTTTTCTTTATTGTATAATTTATTGCGTAACAAATCGCGCATTTGATATCATCCAGCACAATGTCAACATAAAATTAAAAAATCTGATTATAAAAACCGAACACCATGAATACCTATTAGGCATTTACTCAGAAGCGATCTTGGATCGGAGCGCCAATCTGCTTTCACTCCTGACCCCTCGTGTTAAAAATTTCAATGCATCCAAGGTAATTGAAAAATTTAGCTAACAGATCAAAGGTTTCTTGGCACTGCAAGGCATGCTGCTGCATAATTTTATGCAAACAAACCTGATTGCCACCGCAAATTGTCGCCCACTAAATACCGAAGTCGTGCTAATCAAGTTATCAAGATTAAATAATTCTGCATCAGAAAATATATTTGATAAAACCCTACCCAGTTTCGCAAAGAAAATTATTCTGCGAAGTTGAGTATAGTATTAATTAAAACTTCAAAACTTCATACCCTTCAATTAATTACCATGAATACATTTCCATGAAGCCTTTTTCCCAAATTTTGGAGTAATTAGAGAAAATTGGAAGCGAATATTCAGCAACTTACATCTGCCTTAATAAGAGCACTCTCGCATATTAGGAAGGGCTCTTTTAATTTTTGAAATTATGAAATTGATAGCAACGTTAAAACGGTCCTGTTATCGTTAAGTTAAGTACACAGATATATAGTGAATTTTCTGTGGTGGAACCTTAATATAACTTTCTACATGTTATTTTTAACTATATCATTCATTTTCATTCAAATTTCATTAGATTCATTGCCATTATTCAACAACAATCCCAACAATAAATAATTGAATTATTAAAGTTTGCTTCTTCGATCTGAAAAGTTTACCAACATTTGTCTAATAAAATTAAAGTTTCGAAGCGATTCTTTAATGAGAGAAAGACTTTAAATTCCGTGGTTTCCTTCGCTTAAAAGCATTTCATTGTTGGAGGCCTTTTCAGATATTTTACGAGTAAGTGCGAAGTTTAAATGTTGTTTTATAAATTTTTATTTATTATTTGCTAATTTTATAATATTGTATTATTTGATACTTTTATAATATTCTATAATTTGATAATTTTATAATATTGTCTCGGATATATCTGAATAGTGCAATGTCTTTTTTACTAACAATAAATTGAAATTTGACTGATTTGAGTTACTTGCAGCAAATAGCAAAAATTGGCTTTTTACAGAATGAATGTTCAAAAATTTCTTAGAAATATATCGCATATTCTCCATTCCGTTAGGTTCCATTAGAATATTTACCGTCCAAATGGTTTGGAAGATGTCGAAACCATTTATATTTGCACCCAAATTTGATACCAAATAAAATTTACTCTATTAAAATTTGGAAAGCTTTTTTTGCGTTTTAAACGATTTTATTGAATTTAGAGAATCTATTGTTTTTCGCTGCCAAAACCTCGGACGTTTACAGGTATTTTGCGATGAAATAAATTGCATGCAAAATTTCCAGATCTTATCATAGAAATTATTTTCAATTTAAAAAAAAGATAGTCCAATTCTATCCGTTTTAATGTTAGTTTATTCTCGGTTGCGATTTTAATTCTTTGACCGCCTCGATGGCTGGCATGCTCTGTTCTGCACTCTTGGGGATGTACGCCTATCTCTTGAGGAGTAAGTTCCTATCTCTTGATTTTATTCATTTGTATGACATCCCCATGGTGTTATCTCTTACTCTTTTGTGTTTTCCAGTCGCCCTGATGATGACATAATTGTCGAAAGTGCTTGGCTATGTTTACCATTCAAGGGTTAAATTACTCATTTAAGAGTTTCATTTAAGAATTCATTACATAAAAATATTTTTTGATTGGAATTACAGAAACGCAAATGCTTTCATAAATTTTCAATTTCGGAAAATGACAAAATTTAAAAAAAATATAGTACTCGTTTTCGACTATTTTCAATAAAAGTTTTCGCTTGGCTCAAAAATTACCGAAAAATCAACCGTTAAATCTAAAAAGCTACCACGACAACAAACTGTTCACAACACAGTTCAGCTAAAAGTGCTTTGCACAGATGAAAAATTTCACTTTGCCGGTGTAGAAATACCAAGAAAATCATAAGCTCATGAACAAATTTGGTTGTTCTCCATTCCAGCGTATTCAATATCGACTGCCCTGCATTGGTTGCTATTGGATATGTAAGTAGGACATGTGATTTGTACTATGAGCATATAGGAATATGTAATGAAATCGATTACTTGCGAATGGAGGTTTCCGATTTAGCTGATTTTCAATAAGTTTATCGAAACCTGAATCAAAAGCTACATTTTGAGAAATGAGGAATATTTATAGAGGAGTTTAGTGACTCCATAAATAAAACTTTAATAAATAGTCTACGCAAATATTGTGTATAACCAAAGAACTGAACTTAGTTAGTTAAATGTATATTCATTATAAAATACAACATATGACAGAAAAACCCTTTGAACCTTTCACGTACTAAACTTACATTAAATGTTACAACAGCAACATACATTCAATCAAATAGTATGGTATAGATAGTTGTTTTTAAACTCAATTGAAAAACTAAATTTTACAACTCTGAATTCAAGTCAGCTCATGTGTCTATGTATGTAGACTTTTTCTTCATTTGTCGGACGCAAAGCAGCGGTAAGATGGATATTTTTTTGAATTTTTTGTATCCCCAATTTTCAATTACCCTGTAAGACAGAAAAGAACTAACAAAAAGCGACGTTTATTAGCGCGATATCCTGTGTAAACTAAATTATCGTCTCTAGTTGACTTTAAACATGTTCATGTTTTGAATTTTCCATTGTCGGTGAATTTCCTTGCATATTACGATTTTGCTCTAAAACGTATCGAGCGAAAAATTATGTGCTTAAGCATTGATTTGCATTTTTTTTAAATCAATTTGGTGGTCCCGTGTTTGTGCTAATTAGTCTTTGTTTATTTTCAACCGCTTTGGTGTGTAACCTCAATCTCGGAAACAAGGCGATTAAAAAAAAAACGTAAGATCAGGAACCCATTCTTATGATCAGTCATCAATATTAAGCTTCAATTACTCTGCAAATGTATATTTTTTCTGAAAGTGCGATAATACAGTTCCTCTGGATTACCGCAAAATAAATTGAAATGTGAATTGTATAAAATATCACTTGATTTAGAATAACTCAAATAGCAAAATGGCAAAAAGATATAAATTCTCTATAAAAGTCGACATAAACTACAACAAAATTCCATTTTCTATTCATCGTTTCGATATACATTTCAGCTTTAGGTTATCGAAAAAATCACTTACTTAATATCCATTTCATGTTTCTTAACAACAACACTTTAAAGTTTTCAGGCAGTTTAATGGATCGGAAATATTTAACGAGCCCAGAATGCCTTTGGTTCACGGCGGTTTTGGAAATGATATTTTATCGTATCCTATAAAACGGTTTAGTGAGCTGCATTATCTACAATTTCTCATGTTTAAACTGAATTTTTACTTTTTTGGGGCTTGAAAAATTTTCTTCTCATGGTAGATAGGGTGGACAAGAATTTTTTATGTTTTTAGGTAGGTAGGTATTTGAAAGTCTTTCTTTTGTTTTCACTGCAGAAAGTGTACAAAATCCAACTATGGATCCAGATAGGGTGTCAAAATTTAGGTATACTCCGATTACAGGTGTAGACGCGGAGAGTCTTTCTACTTACAAAAGTTAGTAACAAAAATATTATTACTGTTAGACCGCAAACTTTTACAACGCAACATTTAAATAAACATTTAGAAATTTCCTGTTTCAAATAATAATAATTTCGCGTGGTTGTTTCTCGGCTTCATTTAAGATGAGTTTTGGTTTTAAGCAAAATAAGCTTAAGTATTTTGGAAGTGATTAGAATAAATGTATTTTTTGAAACTTCCTTCATTTATTTCATTACATTGAATTTAATTTAAAACATTTTAAATAGTTAAATTTTTGCCACGCTGAGAGAACTTTTAATGCTTTTTTTGAATTTGATTATTATGCTTTTTGGCAATAATACAAATAATTTTATTTCGACGTTGTTAATAAGGGTTTGTCAGTTTTTCCAGCTGGTGGTTTTAAACCTTCTACTCACTTAACTATAAAGTGTGGTGCAAAAGTTTAGTTTGAAATTGTATCCACCAGGTACCAAATTACGCCCGATCTGTGACTAGAGTATTGTTATCAAATGTCTGGTTTTTCTGAAATTCTTAATTTTTTGTCTAATAATACTATGAGCTTAACGCGATTTTCAAATTCCCAGGGGAATTCTGAATACTGCGTGCTTAAGTAGCATTTCTTTCTAACATTTAAATCTATAAAATGATTTGAAGACCCAAATCATTGCTGAACGATTTTAAATTTTTTTTATAGATAAATTAAGATTTTATTTTGATGTTCTTTTAACAAAGCGAACTGATATATCAGATATGACAACAGGTAAGCTGTCGACCACAGATATATGAAGGTAAAATTAATTAAAATGTTTATTTTGTGCCTCCGCTTTGTGAAAAATTTTCCTTCTAACTGCTCAGAAATTTATATAAATCGACTGGGTGGATTCCGAGATATTTTCTTTATTCTATACTTTAGTACGGCACTGTATACCTATTACATTTAAGTAATTTTTTTATTTGCTTTAAAATATAATAAAAGGGACATGTTTTGATTTTTGCAGGTATCATGGATACGGAAACAAGATTATCACCTGCTCACAGTAGGGGTTGCCACTTATAATACTGACGACAGATTTATGGTAGAGCACGTGCGTCACTTACAGAACTGGGGTCTTTTGATCAAGCATGTGCAGCCCTCTGATGCTGGACTTTATGAGTGCCAAGTATCTACACATCCTCCAACAAGCATCATAGTTGAGCTTAAAGTTACAAGTAGGTGCTTGTCAATTACTATTTTTAAATTTTGCAAGTTAAATAGTTTGAGAAAAACACATTACTTAATGTGCCCAAATAGCTATATTCTCAAAATACGTTTTAATATCGTCAGCGTTTAACCGTCATTTAGGATACGAAATCGAATACAATGAAGCAAGTGCTTTCTATGTGTACATTAAGGATCATCTAGCATTTAAACACTTTCAAGCTAATTTTTATCGACCACTTTAACAAATCCTCTGAATCGGTTAGGAAAAACTTCTGTATATAGGGTGATTCAAAACTGGCGTCATTCCTTTTAAGGGGTTATAGGGGTTCACTTGGAGAGTAGGAGAAAAATATTGCAGTAATTTTTTCCCAAATTTCCAGCAGAAATTAACGGCATTATTTTTAACTACTTTATAGGTATTTACGTAATGTTAATGAGGCAAATTACCTATTCATTATAAAACGCCTTGTCAACCATTCGTAGCTGATTTGATTCCAATTATCAATCAAACTGTTAAATCTCTGAAAATCGCTCTTAAAATAAAAAACATTCATTGCCAACAACACCGCAAATTGTGTTGATTTATCAACCCACAGATTGATTAATGGAAAATAAATGTGTCAAATCAACAAGACCGCAAATTGGTTTTATTGGTCAGTCAGTTTTCAGTTGCAGATAATCTAATTAAACCAGAGAGCAGCATAGACCACAATTAATTTTGCTGCTTTAAAAAATTAAAATTTTCGAGCAAATTAAATATTTGGTTACCGATGTTATTTATTAAAGCAGTCAAAATAGACAAAGAGTTTTTTGTGTGGATTAGTTGTGTTCGACTTTTAATTGATGTAATTTGTTCAGAAACAGATCACATCAATTAAAGATCATTACATTATGAATAAGGGTAACGAAAGATTTTGTTAAACATTCGTTAAAGTCAAATTATATCAGGACATATCATTTATTGTAACCGTTATAACCTTGTATGGCATTTTATCTCACATAGAAAAAAACACTACTGGTGATTGGTGCTTTTGAAATATTAATGTATAGCTATAAGAGAATGTATCAAATGTAAGTAGAGCCTATTTATTTATTGAATTGTTTAAATTTACTGCTTTGTTTTACAAAATTTTCAAAAACATACACTTTTTCACTTAATGGCACTTCACCGCGCTTCATTCAGGGGTCTAAAAGGACAAACCTGGAAAGTCTGGATTGGCGGGAGACTGTTCTAGGGATTTATACCACTTTTGTCTAATATCCTATCATAATCCTCAACAAAGAGTCGGGTGTGATAGATGCAATAAGAAAAGAAAATTAAGACCTTCCTTGAAAATGTTGCCGATTTTTGCTGTAAATTAGTAATCTAAATTATGATTGCTAGTTTGATTCCCTACATCGATACTGGAGTGTAAAGGTGGACTTTCCTATGAGTAATAGATCTGTATGTCCTAGTTCAGTTTTTTTCAGAAACCTTCATTTAGTTTTCAATAATATCATCTATCATATACTCTTTCAAGTAACTTCCTTCCGAACACAAAGGATTTCATCATCATAGACCATGCCATTATACTTTATGTGACATTATACAACATGTTAATGCATCGATTAACAAAATTAAATAATTTTCGCTTGCACGTTCCACATATTTAACGTCGTTATTTTCCGTCAGTATTATCCCGATGTGCATATTTCAGTGATCATGCAGGTCGTTCATGCAAATACCGTTGTTATAACAAATTAATAGGCAGGGAAAATGTTGCTCTGAACATCCGAATCTGAATTGCGCCATAAAAAAGCGATTTTCACTCTTAATATAAAAAAGAATAATTATTTGCATGTAATAGTACGAACTGGTCATGTGCTTTTGCGGCCACGGGAATGAATATTTAAATGTGAAATAAATATGTATGGAGGTTTAGTGTTCTAAAAGTTTAAAGTTTGTTTGAAATAATTGACGAATGTTCTATCTATGTTGGCTGGTCACGCCTAGTGAAATAAAGCTTTGAAACGGTATGTTAATAAAATATCTGGCACTTTGGTTGCATATCTAATGTGATGCTCTGGGCGAAATGTTCTGAATAATAGATTCATAGTGATCTGATATTTTCAGTATCTCTGCACATACTGCAAGTTTATACACTCATTATAGGATGTAGGTTGGACAGTAATGGTTTCCACTATTAAAAGGGTGCATTTTAGAATCCGACAAAGGCGAATATGCAAAATTTTTGTATTTACTTTTCTAAATTTCGTTTTAATGGAAGAACCAATAATATGGCGATTATTAGTTTGATTATGGAATACGCAAGTTCAATATTAAAGCAATGTTAGTCATAAACTATACCAGAAAATCTGGTTATGGATTACTAAAAATTATAATTAAGATTAATTTTCAGTTTCCTGAGTAATGGGCCAGATGGGTGGTGAATTACTTGGTTAGGGTCGTAGGAAAATAACAAAACCACATTTAGGTTTAACCACAATTTTGTCAGCAAAAATAGTACTGAACCAGAACAAATGATACGAAGACGAGTTAGGTGCCCATTTCTCCTCAACATATTCTCGGTCTACCGTGCCTTGCCTTTAATTTTGTAAATCTACTTACGTACATAATATCACACTTGCATTCATTTAAATGAGCACCACCATCGGATTTACCGAKAAAACGTAATATAAAACTACTTTGTATTTTCTACGGTAATTTTGCAAATTCGCAAGCTAGGCAAATATGTGGAGAARAGAGCCACATGTTCAGCACTCCAAAGATTACTGCCAAACTGCGAGTTTATCTCGRTTTTRCCAAGAAWGTGAATKTTGTGCTTTYCAATTAWWTWTTTTWAYTTAMTTTTTACTTGCATATAAATTGTAGKAAGCAACTGTTTTTACCATAASTTSTTATTACGATTTTGTCTGTTCTTGAACAACTTCSTARTATATTCAATTTGGTGGACACGGCTGAGACACCACACCGGTTTCATTTTMTTTTTCTCAACACGCGTAAACATGTTACTACAGAAATTGCTCTTAAATTTTAAGTAATTAGTAATAATATTCACCCTCATTTAATTTTAATAAATTTWGAATTAGSCAAGTCACATCTAGCTCAGTTATTTGAGAGCATGCTCTATACACATGTTGAAAATTAATATATTTCKTCCGCAAATACATCGAGGGACTAKGTGGCAAGCAATAACTTATAAGATAAAAATATTATTCTTGGTCTTATTCGAGCGAAACAGCCCTAACCAAAATTAATATTTTGATATGAAACAAATGGATTATATTTCCAAACAATGTCTATCGTTAAAATAAATGTTTATTTTGCAACTGTTTTAATGCGGAAAGTAAGCTCAATTTCTAGAAGAAAATTCAAAATTTATTATTACGGGAGTATATACTATGAAATGTACTCTGATTTAAAGAAGATTCACTTTAAGTTTGCTTTTGTATGTTATGTTAGGTACGTCATTATACATAACTTTTAATTATGATGGAATCGAAAATCCATTCCAAATCAATTCAAACACGGTTCGTAGTTGCACGGTCGCATTCAGGCTGCTCTGCTTTACGAATCCTGCACTAGCGAATCCAAAATTCCGTACGCTTAATGAATTTCTCTGGAATGTTTAATATTGAAGTGATTTCCGCAGTTTGGCTTATAACCTGCCATAGTTCTGGCGTACGATTTAAAATGAAAGGAAGCGTAAAATGCGTTTACGGGACGCATTGAGACTCACAAACCAGTATTTTTATCTTTTTTTAAAGAACAGCTGATTTTTAATGCGGAACTAAGATGTTTAATACAGAAATAGATGTATGTATATGGACAAATATCGCTAAAAATTGATGCAAAAGTGTTTGGTGGACTCTTACTTACTTATATGTTGGTGGTTTGCTTGGAAATACATGTTTCGCTTATTGAAGCCAAAAATTATTTACCCGAAATTTGCTCGTGTAATAATAACAGCTCGTTTGTCGAGCGTAATAATATGATTTTTTCATTATTAAAAGGGAATATATTCCAGTGGCAATTATTGTTTTTAGTTTATATTTCCCAATAAACTGACGAATTTCAAATTAATTTACATTACCTTATAATCATTTTACGAAATATTTATATTCCATATCAGGTTTTGAAACTAACTATGAGTTATATTTATATGCTAATGAATTGCTGATATGTAGATAAAACAGGTGCTAATGGAGAAAATTCATTTCAAATTATCACGTATCAATGACCCTTCCATTATGAAAGGAAATTTCACAGTAAAATAAATGGGTGCTTGTATTTATCATACTTTTCACTAAACATAATGTTTCGAAAATATACAAAAACACTCAATAACGGCATTGAATTCGAGATTGGACATTGATTGACATTAATATAGCCTATTTACTATCCAATTTTTGAGTAGCTGTATGCTTCTACATAGAAAAGTATAAAGCGTGGAAAACTCATCTGTATCCAATTTGCCTTCATTTGCATCTCAACATACATTATGCGTTTACAATATA